TATATGTTTATTTAGTAAGCTAATAGAACTAGTGAATAAGTTAATGACACTAGCATGAAAATCTGCCTAGAAATTATGTTTTGAACATTAGTTTGGATTCTTATATCAGTCTAGTTTTGTTTAGAACAAACGGAAACTGATTTCGAGAAGTATACAAAAAGATACTAATTTTTAATCAGTGATAGATCAAAAAATATGACAACAGATTCTGTCCAAAACAGCTTCTGTCAATCAAATTTGAAAATTCGTTATAAATTGTACAAGTGAAACTAGATGGAGTGTCTTATATGGTTAGATTTATATTTGAGTCTAGTTTTCAGTGGTGCAAACGGAATAATTTTTCAATATATAGATTAATACATAATAATATTTCTTTGAAGGTAGTGCAAATTGTTAGAATATGAAATTTCAATAAATTGTGTAGTGGAAGTAATTTTTAAAGCTTAATGAGACTTATATTTGATTTACAAGTAAATTGTTCAAATGAGTCTAGTTTATTTATTTAATTACTCTGATCGAGGATGACTTGCGATAAGTCAACCTCATTTTATTTTCTAGTATGATTTATAAATTTTCAATATGGAATATTTCTATAATATTTTTTTCATTAAGTTTTATGAATGATTTTGGGTATGAACTGTCCAAGTATGATATTTACAGTTATCAGATGATTTTTAGTTATCAGATGTTTACAGTTATTAGATGTTTTACAATTATCAGACATAAATTAATAAATGATTCTATGACGATAAATATAAGCCTATTGTATGTTGCATTGAGAGTCATAGGTACATTTGGCATGTCATTAAGTGAGTGCTTATCAGTTACAAGTTATCAGTTCAACTTCTGTACATTCGTGTACCAATGTTCAACACCGTTGGTGCTCATGTTATGATTGTACTGAAGTGCATCATATTGCAATTTCAGTTATAATTCGACACCGTGTTGTGCCTAGTACGCACCTTATACTCACGTACCTTGTATTCTTTTACATATACATTGGGCTAAAAAAGTAAGTGTGAAAATTGACAGTATATAAAAGAAAATGACATAGAATTGAAAAGAAAGTTATAAAATATGTTTGAATGAAAAGAACAAAAGTTATTTATGATATTTAATGATGACTTACATTATTTTTGATAAAATCATGAGATGATGATTTTCAGGTTTTTAGAAGGAAAACGACTTGACTAGCCCAGTTTGAAATTTTAATTGTTTTTTATTTAAATTTTCAGTTTATTGTTTATATTTTATGGATTTTATGTTTTAGCCATATTTATGCCTTACTAAGTTTTACTTAGCGCATGATATTTTCATGCGTAGGTTCGAATAAATAGTGGACGTGAAGTGAGGAGTTTGCCAGCATCTTATGGAAAATCAAACTTACTAACAGTATCAATAAGACATCCTAAATTTGACTTATTAGTGGCATGTACATTATATCTTTTGGGTTGCTTTATCAGATTTATTTTAAAAGTGTTTGTAATAGTAATTAGGGATTATTTTCTTTAATTTTGTCTAATTTTAGTTTTAATCATATTTATGAGTAAATAGTATAAATGTTATATTTTAAATGGTTTAAAATCAAGTGGTATTAGGTAATTGTATATGGATATGAAACAACATTGAACGGTCTAATTACCGACTGAAATCGGATTAGTTTCAATGATCAAACAATATTGTATAAATTTATATGATTAAGGAAAAATTCTTTAAAGTTAAAAAGCAAATGATTAAATAAAACAAAATTTTTAAGCATTTAAGTTCAACAAATGTCAGTTAAGTTGATGTGACATCTTTAGCTCGTATTACGAGGCACATACGGGATAAGGGTGTTATATTTATGGGCTCTGGACCACAACGTGTGATGCTTGCTAGTGTGCGTGGGGTGACTAGAGCGCGCGCGTGGATGTCTCTAGAAGACCTTGGCGGTGGCGAGAACGAGTTTGATGAAACCCTAACTACTGATGCTTGTGCACCGTTGGATCTTCTTCAGATCTAACGGGTATTGTTTGACGGCTAAAGAGTTCACACAAATCCCTAGTTTTCCAGGTGGGCTACCATATTAAGTCATTGAGCTTTGTTGATTATGTTTCACTTGGACTTGTAAGTAGAATTTGGACCTACATGTAAATAAAAGTATTAGTGTTGTTTACATTTTATTTAAATATACACTATCTATTCAATATTTAATAATAATAATAATAATTGTATAATTATCATAAAGTTAACCTATCTATTTAATTAATAAACCTAATTTATTTACTAATCATTAAATATACTTAAAATTAAAAGTAAAAGTAATGTAAATCAATTAAAGAAAGCAATTAAAGAAAATAATTAAAAGAATTTAAAAATAAGTTCAAACATTTTAAAATAAAAGTTCAAAAGAAAATTCGTACTAAAATAGTGTTTACAATTGCCCCTCTTTGCCCATTAGTGTGGAAACACTAATTGGGCAAAGACAAAAAGACAACAGATTTTTGTTTTGTTCCATCTTTCGCTTTAAAATTTGATGTTGTCTCATGAGAAACTGAAAAAGACTTTTTATCTCAAGGGATATTAAAATTCATATTTCAAAGGAAATAATTTCATTGATTTGTATCTCAAAAGAGATAATTTGAAAAGGTGACATTTTCAAGAGAAACAGTCTTAAAAATCTTGTTTCAAGGGAAAGATTCTCTAGAGAGAATTTTTTTTCTTTTTGAATAAAAGAATATCAACATGTTTTAATTTAAGAGAAATGGAGTGAGATAAAAATAAGGGAAATAATCTCAAGTGAGATAAAAATTTTGTTTCGAGCGAGACAATCTTCAGGCTTGTATTTCAAAGGATTGAGCGAGACAAAATTCAATTTTAAGAGAAACAATCTCAATGTTTATGTTCCGAGAGAAACTATCTCATGCAAGATAACATTTTCATTTCGAGAGAAATTGTCTCAAGTGAAACAAAATTTTGCTTCAAGAGAAACGATCTCTATAGTTTATGTTTCAAGATGAACTGTCTCAAGCGATACTAAATTTTATTTTAAGAGAAACAATCTCAAGTGAGATAAAATTTTGTTTCAATAGAAACTGAATTTTAAGTTTGCATTTTAAGTGAAATTATCTCATGGGAGAGATAATTTGCTCCTTCATGTTGATGAGATCTAGTTGTCTTTAAGGGATTTGATCATTCACTAGAAGATTTCAAATCTAATGATGACATTGTTCCTTCATGTTAAGGACGTCTAGTTGTATTTAAGTAATTTGTTGTTAAAGACAACATTACTCTTTATTGTTGAGGAGATCTAGTCAACACCAATCTTTTCCTGAAAATTTTGTAAAAAAATATTTACCTGTAACTATCTTAAATGTTTTCATGAATGTCAGATGGAGTTTATCTTATGTATTTGATTTTTAATAAAAGGTGGTGGTTTTAGGGTTTTAGGGTTTATGGCACAGGCCCTATGAAAAACTTTGTTTGTGATGTGGAAGGGGAATTCTTTATTTAGTCTCAAAACACCAATGATGACCATTGCTTACAAAAATTATTGATTGAGATTTAAATATTTTATTTTCATTTCTAATATTTTAGTAATATATGAATTTTAAGATCAATAAAAAATTGTTACATGCCTCATTTATTTGTTATTTATTTAAATTACTTTATATTTTTTTTTCTTAAGTTTACATTAGGCTTAGTTAAAAAAATGTATAAATTATACTTCTCGTTAATTTTAGATGTTTGATATTCTTCCGTTAAAATGTGTTTAACGTTTTTTTCCGTTATCATTTCAGGGAATTGGTTTGTTACAAATGTCCAAAAAATATATCAATTACGCAAAATACGATGCTTTTATAAATTTAAAAAAATATCTAAACTTAAATTTTTTTTAAAAAAAATCCCAAAATTCTTAAACCCTACCAAAATGAGAACCGCCATCAATGCCGTCGTTCAGTTGAAAATCTAACATCACTAATCAATCGAATCTCCAACGTGCTTACCGACCGAAATCCCTTACTTTTTGTCACTAACGCCGCTTGAACAGGGAAAATTTAACTTGGAGTTGAATCTCAAGTTTTGCACCAACGCAACCAGCAATAGATGCAAAAGTTTTGCACCAGCCACCAACTTTAAACCCAACAAATCCCAAATTTTGCATCAACGCAGTGACCAACGCATGCACGATTAGATGATGCCAATTTGTTGGGAAATTTAAATTCCAACTCCTTTCACTTTAGATGACGACCGGAGGAAATTTAAAACCCTTAAACCTTAATTTCGAATTTCTAAATCTCAAAATTCAATCATCTAATCTCTAATTCTTTTTCACCATTAGTCGTTATCACATTCGCTGAACATCTATCAACTCGTTGTTGGGCTTTTATTGTCGTTCTTAAATCTAAATTTAATTAGAGAATTAGGATTTTAGAGATTTAGAATTTGTGATTTTAAGATTTCTGTGTTGTTTTGTGTAAAATAAGAAAATTTAGATTTTTTTAAATTATAAATTTTAATTTTAAAAATTAAAGAAAATTAAAAATCATGTTACGTGTCAAACATTGATTAATTGAATGATTCTTAACAAATTTTTTATTGTCGTTAATAGTCAGACACTTAAATGATAACGGGAAAAAAATATCATACTCTCACTTTGAATGGAAAAAAATTAAACGCCTAAAGTTAGTAAAAGAAATAATTATTTATTTCTTAATTAAGTCTTTATATTATAAATAAAGTTTAATTTGTACAGATTAATACTTAAATTTGATGAATTCTCCTAATTTGATACTTACTTTTTTAAGGATTAAATTAATTTTTAAACGCTAAACTCTAAATATAAAGGTTAAGATGAATAATTTCATTTTTTTCCTTGGAATATCATTGAATCTGCCCTTTTAGAATAGTTTTCCTTAATAAATTTGATGAATACTTCTCTCTAATCCCACATCGCTCGAGAATAAGGTGCTGATGGTCCTAAGTTTTATAAAAAAGACGAGGGGGCACATGGTGTAAGCGTCTTTGCGCTTGGGGCAATGATGCAGCTCATGAGGTTCTAACCGAGGCGCGTCTATTGCTGGTTGAAAACTATTTCCAAACCCCCTCTTAGGCTTGGGCTTGCCCGCGGCCTTAGAGAATTTCTGGAAGGGCTTCCTTCGGGGTAAAGCCTTACAATTACCAGTACAAATATTTTACCTTGAAATCATATGTTTGATGTGCTCCAAAGTGAAGAATTTAAGTACTTGAGTAATAATGCACTTGTTATTTAGTCACGGACGTGCTTCTAGATATTTTCACAAAGGACCATACTATCTGGAAAACACAGATTATTGTGGCAGATGCTCCCGAGGTTAACACCTTTCCTCACATTATTAAATCTTCTAGACGAGTTATAAGCTTAGTTAGAACAAGCACTCCAGTTTGAAGGCAGCCTATGTGAGACCAAAGTGGGCATATTTCTCACATTCACATCCATAGGCAGCAACCTATATTCAATGTCAAGCTCTTTAAGTATCTTTATCATTTCTTCAAGTAAATTCCCTCTCCTGACCCATCTCTCCGACATGTTTTGGTAGTTCATTCTGTGCTTCGACGCCACTGATATCTTCAGTTTGTTCATCTCTTCAACGTCCGTCACAACCACCAGCGGGTTACAATGCCAGTGGTGCTCCCTGCTCTCGATATACCTGCTTGCACTAGTAAACCTCAAATTCATACACTTTGTTTGACAATGACGACGAAGGAGATAAATCTCTAAAAGGTTTTTTTACCCTGTAATTCTTTTTTTCATGTTGGCAATCTTCTCCGATGGAGTTGAAACGTGGATGCAAAATTCGATTGTTTCGACCATGTCTGGACTTCGATAGAAGTTGCCAATAGGCTTGGTAGACAACACGCTGTTCGGATATACGAGCTTTTGGCCGTCATGTCTTAAGAACACTGTGGATAATATATTCATTTCCTCAACTACCATCTGAGGCTCAACACAACAAATGTTTGTAAATAGTAGTGATCAACGGATTGACCCTGGAAACAAAGGAAAAAGGAAGCAAGTTACCTGCATTCCATCCACCTCGCAGCGGTCGCCAACATCAAATGGATGCATTATAAATAGAAAGATGATTGCTTCAAACACTGTCTTGCATGTATTCCCGAAGATAAAAACCACCAGCAGAAGTTGTGAGCTTACGAAAACGAGGAAGTGGGCCACAGGGATGCCGAGTATCATGAGCCAGATTATGACAATGATAATGGCTACTACTATGTTCAACATGTTGTGGAGTTCATCGACGGCAGTTTTTGTATCATTTAGGGACAATGTGAGTGCTTTTCGATCTCTGAAGGCATTCACCTTGAAGAGGGAAAAAAAGTGTTTTAGTGTGTTTCTAAATAAATTAACACAAAATATGAATTATACTCCAATTACCAGCCAATTGTTGAGTGATGCCCTGCTGATTCCTTCTTCTTCCGTTCCTGCTCCGAAGAGATTCAATGCCTTTAAAGCTTCATCTCGACCCATAAACCGCATGATGTCTGTAAGGTAAATGTATCTGATAGGAGATTCATGTCATTAACTTAATTAGCATGACAACATCATTGAAAATCAGTAGTTTACAGTTTCAGGAAGGGGAAAGAGAATTTTACTGAGAATCTGGCTTAGCAACATTCTGGAAAATCTTCTTAGATGCTTCGTTTGCTTGGCATTCACTTGTAATCTGCACTGAAGATTCATCATCTTTCTCGGAGTGGAGTATCTGCTCATCCAGGGTAGTCAAGTGTCCGCCGCTGACCATATTAATCATCCTCCTCATATTCCAAGCTGATATATTCTTCTGGTTCAGCTTACGAAGGTGGTCGAGTTGGATACCATCAACTTTCCTCTTAGATATTCTCCTCTGAGTTCTTGGATCATTCTCAACTACACTGGTTTTTTGTTGTTTCCCACTTCCTACTTCTGCCTCAGTCCTTTGTGACTCCTCGTTCTCGGTTACGTTATCCTCTTCCTCTTGTTCGATGCTATTTATATCGAAAAAGGGTGGACCAGAGAGCATCTCAATGACATATTGATTGAAAAGAGCTTCCTGGATTCTGTCAAAGAAGGTGTTTACATGGAATGATGAAGCGAGGACCTTAACAAGGAGGGTTTTGACGAGCCATATCAATGTAGCCACCAAGAAACATATGATAATCTTTGTCACGTAGGGTAAAACCTTGCTGTTGGTCTCCTTCTGGACTTTATCATCAAATATCCAATGCCACACAAGCAATACCAGACCCAACCAGAGGCTATTCTGAACAGGCCTCCTCAATCCGTAAACGAAATACAGAACTCGTTTCCGCAGAAGAAAATTGCGCTCGATAAAGATCACAACTAGCCGAATTCCCCAACCCGAAACGAGTCGTCCACAAATTAATGCCAAAACCATTATCTCCCATTTCCATAAGTGAAGATCCCAAAGCATTAGTCTTTTGAGACCAGGGATGAGGACGCTACAAACTAAGGCTGCTATAATTAGAACCAGACTTAACCATTGAAGTATTGTCAATGCGCTGAATTTCAGTGCCTTATATTCATCCGGATTGTCTTCCATGTCTTCCTCGTCATGATTGTTTTCGTTGAACTCTTCTTCTTCGGAGTAGCTTCTTCCATATCGGTTCTCAACTGGGTCAAGCAACCTAGACTTGGTTTTGTTCACCAGTTGCCTCCATGAGTTCTGCCGAAGATAATCTTTTGAATCACACCTCGAAAACTGTCCTACCCCAGAACCGAAAGACCATTGGCGTGCTTCACTTTGGCCTGGCAAGTCCTTGCCCTTCTGCCGCACAGCTTCGGTCAGCACTTCGTGAAAGGAAACTTTGGATTTCTTAGATGAACCTGAAGGTTGTCGAACCTTTGAGGTGTTCCCATTTTCTCTGGCAGCAGCAGCATCGTTACTGTCTATGTTGACAACTACCTCTCCTTCGCTCTGCTCGCGAGCATCAACTGACTCTACCGTATCACTGTTGTTGGAGTGAATCAGGAGGGGTTGCTCTTCAGGGCCTTGTTGCTGTTTTGCATTAGAACAGTATGATCTCAAAGATTTTCTCAATGGCTCCATTTTAGGAAGTTATCGAAATCTTCAATTTCTTAGTGTGAAGTACTACTGAATAGTACTGATGACCATTCAGTGCACCTTTTTAATGGCGGGACAGTAGGAAATTATTTTTCCTGGAAAATATTCGAGCACTGTTAAGGTGAAAGACGATGTAGGCCGAAGCTAAAATTGCATTTGTGAAAACACAATTGTGTTGTGTCAGTGTAGTTATGTATTACGACAGGTTTAATTTAAGCCTAAAAAAATTAATATTTTCAGGTTGAACGTAACTTAAAATGTTAATTTTTTTTTAATATTTTTCGATTCAAATAAAAATATTATAAAAAATATGTGCAACCGAAAATAATTAAAAAAAATTAATATTTTAAGTTGCGATTAACTAAAAATATTAAATTTTTTATAACATTTTCAATTACGCATTTCTTTAACTTTAAATTAGGCTATCGTTCTTTAAAGATTCCCCTTATGTCATGAGTCATGTGATTAGAAAAGTTCGAAGAGCATCTTATAGTGATGGAGTCTTTTTATCTTCTTTTCTTCGTTTGCATTTAGCATAAATTCCAATGTCCAGCCAGAAATTCTCATGCAGATTCTTTTCATGTGGAGCTGTAGTACTTACGGTTCCATGAAAAATGAAGCTCCCACCGTTGTCACGTTCGAGAATTAAGAGGCTGCCACTTGGATTAGTTTTCATATATAAAGTTATTATTTAGTTTTTAGTTTTTTTAATACATGCATATATAAATTTTAAAAAGTATTCATTGCCAGTTAATTAAAACGTACCTTAACCATGAAAAACATTATTTTTCTTAATCAAAATAAAATTTTAAATGAGCGAATCGGTTATCTGGAAAGATCTTTATATCGATCTATTGCATATACTTTCTTGACAAAGCGTTCTTGAGATAGAATCGTTGGAGCTTGAGCAAGAAGCTGTCACGTACGTGCTTATGTTCTAATAAGTGATAGTTCGTCAATAATCAAGAATCACTCAAAATGATACAAAATTTCTTATTAGTGGCATCTAGGTTATTGTCACTAAAACTTTAATTTATGTCACTAGATGTATTTTGTGACGTAAAAGTCAATGTCACGACGATCGTCACCTTAGGTGTGTCACTAAATGTCAAAAGTGACGATGTATATGTTATCGTCATGTATTGTTAAATATATAGTGACGCTAATAGATAACGTCATAGTTTAATTTGCATTTAGTGACAATTACTTTTGTCATCAAATGATGTATATTTTCGTCATTAATAAATCATATCGTCACCAATAACACAATAATTTCATTGTATAGTGACGAAAAGAAAATTGTCACATTGTTAGTAACGTATTATATCGTCACCTAATAGTAGCATGGATGACATTTATATATAACATCACTATATAATTAATATTCAATGACAACTAATTATGTCACTAAATTATGTAAAATTTCGTTATTAATGATTTATATCGTCACGGATAATACATTAAAATCAACCTATATGTGACGAAAGAGAAATTGTCACATTTTTAGTGACATAATATAAATATTACCTAATAATATTATGAATGACGTTTATGCATAACATCACTTTATAATTTATATTCTATGACAGTTGGTTAAAATTAAATAAGATTTCTTTATTGATAATTTATATTATCACAAATAATGCATTAAAATCAACTTATATGTGACGAAAGAGATATTGTAGCAAACCACAAATAATTTATATTCTATGACATTTTTAATGACAATATATATTAAAATAAAATTATTTATACAAATCTAAATAAAAAATAAAATAGTTCACTTATTGCAAAATAATAAGATTTAAACAAACATTTCACTAAATACATAATAATTTAATTTCTATAAATATAAAAATGTTTAAATGTTTACAGAAAATAAAAATAATATGATAATATGACTTGTAGAATATTTCGTTGTAACAATCTCAATCCAAACCTTGAGTCAGTTGTGGTTCTGTTGATGTTGAGAGTATCATTTGAAGCTACAAATTAAAATAATCAACATTAGTTACTACAATTAATATTGTATAATAATTTTTATTTGATTAACTATATCGTTTACCTGAAAAGGTGAATCTTTGATGAAATCAAACGGTGAAATTGTTTAGCACCTATCATTGATGTATGGTCGAAGAACTTCACCACCCATGTCTTCTCTATCATTCATAGACGAGGTTGATGAATTTTCAAGTAGTTCTTTCCCAGTTAAATACATCTCAGCCATATCTTCATCATCATCTAGCAAGTGCTCCAATTCATCCCTTACCTGAGAATAAGTATATACATAAGTTTAGAATTGAAAATGGAAGAAAGAAAAAAAAAAAAACAAAAAATGGAAGTTAAAACAAATGCAATGTTCAATTGATTGATGTCAACTCGGCTCAAATGTCACACATATGACACTCTGCATGGTTATGTTTAAATACACAACCTTCTGGATGCTCCCAGTTATTGCAACTAATCGACTTTTAATTTGGTGAACCCGCTCCAAATTGAGAGTACTGATCTTTGATGTCAATTTATCTAAGGCAGGATGAGCCTCTAGCTCCAATGTCTTTGCCTGCACCGGAATAAAACAATAACCAAAACATAACGAAAAAAACAGCGTGATGGTAACAAAAAAGTTCACAGACAAACTAAGAGAGAGAGAGTTACTAACTTCATTTTCTAAGCAGCTTCAAGGCATGCCTCCAATGCAACAAACACAAATGGAAGAATCTTGAAGCCATTTGGGTTCTCAAGACTCTGTTTCTCTTCTGATTTACCTTCATCATCCAGATTCTGAGGCTGTGAAAACCTTGATGACAAATTTTGAGAACTCGATAGAATTATGTAGTTGGAATCATCAACCGCACCTTCCTAAAGAAGAAAACTAAACGATTTGGCCAATGAATATGAAAAAGAATCAGTTGTAGAGCCTAGTAACAAAATGGAAATTGGTAGAGAACCAAGAAAGAACCAGCAGGAGCTGATATTGACTATTTTCCTGACTCAATTTTTTTCTGTAAGTACTGGAGACTAACACTTTGAAATATGTACAAGGACATGACCCTCCAAGAACACTCCATATACAAGGAGGAACTTTTTAAAATTTAAGCATTCGAGTGTGGGCACATACTCGTACCCATCACACAATTAAATCCAAGTAACCTAGGATATTGAGCTATAGCAACATGACTGACTGACTACTTGCAAGTCTAGGGGTGTTCATTCGGTTAATTCGGTGGCCGAACCGACCGAACTACCATTTTCGAATTAACCGAACTTTTTTTTTTTCTTTAACCGTTAACCGAACCGAATTTTTTTTCGAAAATATTAACCGAACCGAATAAATTTCGGTTAATTCGGTTAATTTTCGAATTAACCGAAATTTTTTAAAATTTTCTAATTTATATAAAAATTAAATATTTTATAATTCAAAAAAACAGTTTATAATTAATTTAAATAATATATAATTATAAAATAAAAATTTTATATAAATTTTTTAATTAATTAATATTGATTTAGGTTTAAAAGTTATTGAATCTTAAATTATTAATTGGGTTTTAAATTGTTTGGGCTGAGCCCATATGTTATATATAATATATATAATATTTTTTAATTCAAAAAAATAGTTTACAATTAATTTAAATAATATATAATTATAAAATATAAATTTTATATAAATTTTTTAATTAATTAATATTGATTTAGGTTTAAAAGTTATTGGATCTTAAATTATTAATTGGATTTTAAATGGTTTGGGCTGAGCCCATATGTTATATATAATATATTTAAAATTTAAAATTTTATTTCGGTTAATTCGGTTAATTAACCGATTTCGAACCGAATTAACCGTTAACCGAATATCTAAAAAAACCTTAACCGTTCTCCGACCGAACTAATTCGGTGGCCGATCAAATTAACCGAATTAATTCGGTTCGATCGGTTAATTCGATTAAAACCGAATTTTGAACACACCTACTTGCAGAAAGAAGGTAAATGAGCATGCAAAGCAGCAGCTGGCAGCTACTGAGCTTATCACCGACATGCTGAGAGCTGCCAAGCTGATTATTAGTTACGAAAATGGAGTGTAACCACCAGCTGAGCTAGCAGGTATCTATAAGTTAAGTCAATAAATTGTGACAGGATAACATTTAAGCTTATTATCGCTAAATTCTAGAAGGCAATTATGTTGTTGAATTCCACTACGTTACTTAGACTCGAAGGCGAGTGTTGATTTGACTGCAATTATGAAGGAAAGATATCAATTTCTGTATTTTCTCCCCTAAATTATCAATTCACAGTGAATACTGTGATAGAATACATGATTTTACCTAATTGAAATAAGAAAATTTCATCGATGCAAAAATAAAGCAGGAAAATAAATAAGAACCCTAAATCAAAATGCCATGATAGAACATCAACTAAACAAACATATATATAACTAAAGAAATCAAATTAATAAATAACGAACCTGGTCTTTGGTTGCTTGAAAATGTCACAAAAGTCGGCTCTGAATCTCATCAACGAAGGGGGTAACCGAAGGATCCTTAGAATTCAAAAGCAAAACCTCTTGCGCTGTGATGATTGCCTTAATATGTTCCAAGTTAATCACGATCGCCCTTTCACGACCCAGAATCGTAGACGGGTACGAGATTTTTCAAATGATTTTCTAAGTATATTCGATATAACTATTCGAATATCAAAACATTACTCCAAATCTTTCAAAAATCATTTTTAATCCTTACTCAAGTGTAAAATTAAGTTTTAATCTTAAAACAATTTCAAAATAATTTTACAAAGTATTTTGAATTATTTCAAAGCCAAAAATTCCAGATTGCTCAGAAGGAACTGATTCACCCCTGAATGGTTTGGCTCTGAGAATTCCAGTATGCTCGGAGGGAACCGATTCTCCCCCAGGGGTACCGATTCCCCCTTGTATAACGGTCGAAATATTTAAATTTTACACTTAGGGAACCGATTCCCCATAGGGGGTATCGATTTCCCCACGCTCCAAGCTGTTTTATTAATTGTTTTCACACTAAAACGGTTATATGATCTTCACTAATCATCCCCAACGTTCAGAAGTGATTCAAGGTGAATTTAAACAAGTTCTGAAGCCTTTGATCAATAAGAAATCATAGAGAAACAAGAGAGAAAGCATCAAACACCAAGTTTGTACAAATCAAGCCAATTTTCATTTCAATATTCATTTTGCTTTCAAGAATACCATTTGTGCTCATTTGTAATTATCTTTGAGTGTTCTTTTCTTGTTCTAGAATTGTGCAAACATCTTACCTTGTGAGGTTTTCCTTGTAAGTTTGCAAATTTGTGTATTTCTCTTTGAAAAAGAGTGTACTCAAGAATTTGTGGTATAATTCTTGATGGAGCTATAAGGTTACTCTTTGTCCTCAAAAGAAAGAACAAATTAGTGAATTTGTTGGAAAATCCTTAGTGTGGATAGCTAAGGTAGTGGACGTAGACTTTGGTTGATAAAGTCGAACCACTCTAAATCGCTGTGCAATTACTTTCAATTTTCTGCAAAAGCTTCCACCAAAATTTTAATTATCAATTCATCCCCTCTTGGTCGATTCTGTCAATCGATTAACTCAACAATTGGTATCAGAGCCTCACTCATTTGAAGGTTTAATCGCCTCTTGAGTCGATCCGGGAAGAGTTAAATCGATAAAGATGGCGTCTACTTCCGGTTCATTCTCTATGGAAGAATCCAGACCTATTGACGTGCCTCCACACTTCAATGGAACAAATTATCTTCATTGGAAGAGGTGTATGATGATATTCATCAAAGCATTTGATATGGAAGCTTGGATGATAATCAAGAAAGGATATTCCTCTCATACTAAGAAGGCAAAGAAGTGGAGTGTTCAAGAACAGAAGGAAGCTCAACAAAACTCAAAGGCTATGCACATGTTGTGTTGTGCAATTGATCCTAATATATATAAAGGAGTTTCTTCTTGTTCAAGTGCCAAGGAAATGTGGGATAAGCTTGAGGAGATCTATAGAGACAAGGAAGATGAAGAACCAATAAAAGTGATGTCTCTATTAGCTCTCACAGAGCCAAAGGTATCTTCTAACTCAAATATATCAAATTCAAAATCTTTTAATGAGTTACAAGATGCTTATGATAAATTATTTTCGGAGTTTGAGACCATGAACTCCAAATACAATAAATTGTTTTCTAAATTTATTGCTAAAAATGATATTCTTTTAAAAGCTAAAACAGACTTAGAAAATCAAAATGAAATGTTGAGAAATGAGTTAGATCTTTCAAAAATAAAATCTGAAAACTTTGAAAAAGAAATTTTCAAATTAAACAAACTTCTTCTAGAAATGAAAATGGATTTTGAAAATCAAAATGAAATCTTGAAGAAGGATTTAGAACTCTTAAAAATGAAATTTGAAAGTATTGAAAAAGAAAATTTCAATTTGAAAGATAAGCTTGAAAGTTTAACAAGAGAAAAAGAGATCATTCTAAATAATTCATCTAATTCAATAATGACAATATGTTCACATTGTCATTATCATGGTCATAAGGAACATACTTGTCCTTTAAAGAAATGAAAACGATTTAAAATTAGACAAGTATGAGTTCCAAAAGGAACAAGAGGCATTGAAACTAATGTTCAAGGATCCAAAGAAATTTGGATACCAAAATCTATTTAAATGTCTCTTGTAGGTGTGTGAGAGCAATGGTGATAAAGATGATGATATTCAAGATGCTCTAGCCACGCATAAAAGGGAATGGGTACCCTCTAAACTTAAAATTTTTATTATTTGGTTGCTCATTTAGTTTATGCATGCATGAGTTTTTAAAATGTTGAATTATGTTTTATCTCATGTATGTTAAAAAAAATATTGTATGATGAACATGGTAATTTTTTTTTTTGGTAATGTTTTATAAACTCTAGTTCATCATATTATTTTTTGGTCAAAATTGTTTTTAAATGTAATTGATATCTCTTTAACAATTGATATCAATTTTTCAAAAACTTTGGTTTTACAAAATTTTGACCTGAAATTTTTCTTAATGTTTGTGCATAGATTTTTGTTTAAATATTATAAAGTTTTAATACATAACATTTTCAAAAACTTTATGCATGTGCTCTTAATCTCTATAATCAACATTGCATAATGTTTTATATGTGAATGGGTTAAAAGCATAATCTTTTGAAAAATAAATTTGATAAAAGATACAATGTTTTATTTTAAATGATTGCAAAATTGATTGACATTGCATCTATTTTCGATTATGCTTGTTGGTCATAAAATATGGATATATACATGATGCATTTAGATTTTATTGATATGACTATTTTGTGCCTAGTTGCTAGGGATGAGCATGATAGTTGGTTATGGCATAGGAGACTAGGACATGCTAGCATGAGTGTTTTGCAACGGTTAGTGCAAGGAGAATTGGTTCGAGGGCTGTCTAAACTAAAATTTGATAATGATAAAATATGTGATGCTTGTGCTAAAGGAAAACAAAAGCGAATTTCTTTTAAATCCATTAATGATGTATCAACTAGTAGAGTATTACAATTGATCCATATAGATCTTTTTGGGCCAACTAGGACTACTAGCTTGGGTGGAAAACAATATGCATTTGTCTTGGTAGATGACTATTCTAGATATACTTTGGTTCTATTTTTAAGTACTAAAGATAAAGCATTAGAACAATTCATCACGTTTTCAAAAGTAATCCAAAATGAAAAAGGTTACTCTATAACTAGTGTTAGGAGTGATCATGGAACTGAATTTGAAAATCTTGAATTTACTGAATTTTGTAACTCTAACGGTATTATCCATAATTTTTCAGCACCTAGAACCCCTCAACAAAATGGAGTTGTTGAGAGAAAAAATCGAACTTTAGAAGAAACGGCTAGAACCATGCTTTGTGAAAATAATTTGCCAAAATATTTTTGGGCGGAAGCCACAAATACCGTTTGTTATGTTATAAATCGAGTAATGATTAGGCCAATTTTAAAGAAAACTCCATATGAAATTTTCAAAAATAAAAAGCCTAACATTAGTTATTTTCATCCTTTTGGATGTAAATGTTTTATTTTAAACAACGGTAAAGAGAACCTTGGCAAATTTGATGCTAAAAGTGATGAAGGAATTTTTTTGGGTTATTCCTTAAATTCTAAAGCTTATCGAGTATTTAATAAAAGAACTTTAGTTGTAGAAGAGTCTATACATGTTGTTTTCGATGATAATCCCCTTCCAAGGAAGGATTCTTGTGTGAATGATGATGTAGGTGTTATAAATACAAATGACGTTAGACATGACGTTGGAGAACCATCATCAAAGGAAGAAACAAAAAATGAGGAAACTCATGATCCTTTTGAGAATCCAACCATTGAAGAAAGGGAAGTATCTTATCCAAGAGAGTACAACTATGTCAAGGATGGTGAAATTATAGGTGATTCATCCAAAGGGGTAACAACTCGATCTTCTCTTAGAAATATTTGTAATTATGTTGCATTTATCTCATGCATAGAGCCTAAGAATATTAAAGAAGCATTAAATGATGAACATTAGATTATGGATATGCAAGAAGAGTTAAATCAATTTGAGAGAAGTAAAGTATGGACATTAGTTGAAAGGCCTAGTAATAAATCTACTATAGGTACTAGATGGGTATTTAGGAATAAACTTGATGAGAGTGGTAATATAGTGAGAAACAAGGCTAGACTTGTTGCTCAAGGGTATACTCAAGAAGAGGGCATAGACTATGATGAAACATACGCTCCTGTAGCTAGGATGGAAGCAATTAGAATGTTATCAAGGGTATACTCAAGAAGAGGGCATAGATTATGATGAAACATACGCTCCCGTAGCTAGGATGGAAGCAATTAGGATGTTATTAGCATTTGCATGTTTTCATGAATTTAAATTATATCAAATAGATGTTAAAAGTGCATTTTTAAATGGTTTTATAAAGGAAGAAGTGTATGTAGAACAACCTCCGGGTTTTGAAGATTCAAAATTTCTGGACCATGTTCTTAAATTGACAAAAGCTCTTTATGGTTTAAAACAAGCTCCTAGAGCTTGGTATGAAAGATTGTCAAATTTTTTAATTGAAAAATGTTTTTCAAAATGGAAGGTTGACACTACATTGTTTTTAAAGCATAAAGGTAAAGATTTATTAGTAGTTCAAATTTATGTTGATAATATAATATTTGGTTCTACTAATGATGTTCTTTGCCAAGAATTTTCTAAGCTAATGCAAAGTGAGTTTGAGATGAGCATGATGGGAGAGCTCTCATTTTTCTTGGGACTCCAAATCAAGCAAAGAAAAGATGGAATCTTCATTAATCAAGCTAAGTACGTCAAAGATATGCTCAAGTAGTTTGGACTGGAAAATGGGAAACCTCGTGACACTCCAATGAGCTCTTCAACAAAGCTTGACTTAAATGAATGAGGTAAATGTGTAGATGTTAAACTATATAGGTCAATGATTGGATCTCTACTTTATCTAACTGCAAGTAGACCAAACATTATGTTTAGTGTTTGCTTATGTGCTAGATTTCAATCATGCCCTAAGGAATCACATTTACTAGCTGTTAAGAGAATCTTTAGATACCTTAAAGACACTCCTAGTTTAGGACTTTGGTATCCTAGAG